TCATTTTTACTAACTATTTTTATTATATTTATATATTTAAGTGTTGCTGTAAATTGCATTTAGTTTTAAATTATTTTGTAAATTGACATCCGTGATTAAAAACATGAATAATAAGTATTATGCATAAATTGCTGTCTAAATGTATATTATAATTATCATTATTTTTTCTATAATTGATACTCGATTAGCGATTCGAACTTGACCTATGTACTTACCTTCTTATACAACTATATCGTGAATTTGGTTTATTGTGTCTAATGTAGGCCGATTATTTTGTGTCTATTTTAATTAATTTATTTAATAAAGACATATCACTCTCGGTGATTATAGTTCAAACTCCAAACTAATTGAGACCGGTAGGTACGTTAGCTTATTACTCATGCGATAAGTTCCAAAGGTCAAAGATATAAAATACATATTATCACGCTTGCCATAAGTCTTGACTAGTAGGGCACGATAGCGCCTATCTATATTCAATTAGACTTAATACAATAAAATGACGCATGACCTTCAAATATAAATTAAAAAGAAATATAATTTTCACCAACATTATAATTTATAATATATAATATGTTTCAACATACTTAAATTTGTCAATAATCCATCATTATTCATTATATTATATGCAATCTTAAAATCTATTACTGTAAATGATGGGTCCCATATTTAATTTTTCATATAAATTGTGGCTCGGTTGTATAATAATGCATATAAGTAAATTTTATGTGGCCTGAGTAATTTTTAATTAATACAAAAGTTACATCTAGTCATACTTTGCAAAATTCAAATTTTCATTCCCATTTTTCAGATTTAAGACTTGTTGTATTCATTAATATCAAGGCTTTAAACTGATTGAAAAAATTTCGGTTTAGGTTACTTTGTATGCCAGTTTTTAGTTTTTTCGCTTTTGGTTACAATTTTGTATACCAGTTTCCAATTTTTTTCGGTTTTAGTTTTAAACTATTATAATAATTTTTTTTTAGTATTTAGTTTTTGATTTTGATTTTGGTTTCAATTTTTAAAAGTTCTCTAAAATCAGTTTCAAGGCCGGGACAATTAACGTTCATTCTTAGTTAATTAATTTTTTTGAATGGCGATCCCGCGTGTTCAAATCGCCTTTTGTGTAAAGTTATCTTTCCAAATGTTTATTATACCAAAGATTTTTAAACTAACACCGTTTTAGATTCTGAGTGGAATGATGAATGTATTGATTTTACAAATATGTGTGTTTTTTTTTTTAATTTTTAATTTTTTTTTGTGTCTGTGTAAACGATGAGTAGTCAAATAATTCTTTGATTTTCAACTTCAGTTTCTTGTTCGATGGGAAAGTGAATATTGTTGGTGCATTAAGAAGGTCAACATTTAAAATTCCCAATAATTTTCAAAAGCGCCAAGAAAATTAAAAGCAAAAAAAAACGGGAATTTTGACCCAAAATCGATGTTTCACAAAATCAACTTTGGTTTTTGGTGTAACATTAAAACAAATGACGATAGATACATGAAATTTTCACTGGTTATTTATATTTGCATTTTATATACACGATAAAATTTTCAAAATATTTTCATTTATTTTGAACTGTTAAGGGACATTTTCAGTTTCCCACTTTATTAGTTCTATTTTCAATGAATGTCAAAAAAACCTTATTTTTGTTGAGTAAAAATACTTGAAATTTTAATATAAAGCTCCTACTATATTGTTACATTGACATTTGAAAAATATGAAAATACCTACCTTGAAATAACCTGAAATCGGTTTTGAATCCAGTTTCAGCCTTGATGAATGATGAATAGTATTGTAATTTTTTATTAAAAGCGTTTGATGTTGACCTTATTTTTTATGTAAACACCTAAAACTGGAAATAATTTATTAGGTAGATAGATAATTGATATAAATACTATATGGATAAAAATGTAAATCAAACGGTTTCAATAATAATACCTTAATCTTGAAGGATATTGAGTAAAAGCTGAATAATATGTTATTCTTTTATATGACTAGTTCGGTAGTTAATTAAAATAATTATATTTTAGTTGAATTAATACTAAACTATAATAATAGTAACAAAAAGATAATATAAAAATCAATAGAAATTTGGACTGACTCATAAACTGTCTCCTTAGAATTTGTTTTTTGTATATTATACAATTATACCTTAGGTATACCTATATTTATCTGCATAATATTGGATTCAAAAAATGATTTAATTAATGAACATATCCATAATTACAGTGGTGCTACAAAAACGTTTTTTACACCGAGTTTATTTAGAGGGAGAGGGAGGTGTATTTAATTGTCATAAAATAATTTTATGACAGTTTAATGCGGTTATAACCAAAGCTGTATCCGTGTTTGGTACCAAATAGCCGATGGTTATAACTATATATGTATGAAATAATTACTATTGGTACAACAAATTTAAAATATTCTATCAATAATGATTACTAACTAATGGTTACAATTCCAATATACATAAATGTACTGTCAAATAAAAAAAAATAACAAGTAAATTGTTTTTTTTTTTTGGGGGGGGGGGGGGCGAATGCCCCCTTTCGCCCACTAAAATACGCATATACCTTATGGTGCACTCGATGACGACGAACACTATATAATACCATATACAAACATAGGAGCATAGGAACATAGGAGCAATAATTAGGGGAAGAGAGGCCTGGAAAACCACCAATTGTGAAATTGGCATCCTCGTAATAAATTGTATGGTTAATCCTCTTAGGGTAAATTTATCATATTAATAATCACCTATTATAAATAAAATACAGCAAATATTATCATAATTATTTAAATTTTTATAATTCTTAATTTATGTTAAAATAAATATATATAATATAAATAATATAAATGTATGCATTTACTAGGTAACAAACAATTACTACGATGCATGGCGTTATCCCGCAATTAGCTATACACTTAGTACCTCTTGCTTATTTTAAATATTTACATGAATATGTTGAATCCATTTTATTCATCAAATTAACAATACTTTTAATAATGTTTTGTGGATGCTACACACGTATTTGTTGTGTCCGTCTTACAAGTGTACATAATATAGAAAATGTAGGGCCAGCAGTTAACGTACAGCTTCTTTAGTTTTGGAATCAGTGTTCCAACTTGTTAAGAAACTTAATGGTAAGAACATTATCTGAGATTGGATGTCAGTTTTTTAAGGAAATTCAATTTTTAGTGAATTTTACGAGCATAAAATAACGCAATTTAAAAATGCTCATAGCTCACTTACAAATATAATAAGGGATTGAAACCGTAAATATATTTCCCGATTTCGATTTAAGTTTCGGATATCGGTATTTATTTTTTCAGATTTGGTTTTTGGTTTCGGATATCAGTATTTACATTTTCTGATTTCGTGTTTGGTTTTGAATACCAGTAATGGTTTTATTCGAATTTTTTTTCGGTTTCGGTATAGGTTTCGGTTTTTAACAGTTTTAACCGGTATTCAAAATCGGTTTTAAGAACTGAAAATAATTATGGTAAAATATAGACTTACCAACACAGACAATGTTCTTTCCAGTCTCAGTTCAGTTAGTTAGTTTAGCAAGTTTTGTAGTGTTAATGTTATATCATTGAGACATTATTGTGTACCTTTAGTATGTTACTATTTAAGTAGGTAGGTTAAGTTGGATTAGGTCTGCGCGTCTAGTGGCATTCGTGCGCCCAATCAGGCACAGCGCAAATACTAATTAAACAGTCGATAATTCACAGTAACTGTTGTTCAACTGTTGTACGCAGCACCGATCAGGATATTAGCTTTAGTGTTCGAAGGTAATATAAAGATGCTATCGGGGCCCCAACGAAGAAGGCTATAAGAATAGCTTGCTTCTACAATACGGTACCTACCAATGCGATAATGGTCGTGGCAGGTAGACTGCCTTTAAAACTACTGGTGCTACGAATTGCTTACCTTGTCAGGTAAACTAAATTTTTTAACGAATTTGCGGTCCGGACGCAATTCAGGTTACTTTTTTACTTGCAGTTAATAACTATAATAGAGTCATATAGAGTTGGTACATTTAACGGGAAACGAAGTGCACGGGATCAGCTAGTAAAATGTAAAAACAAGCAAGTTTTGTTGAAAAGTTTTTAAAAAAATAAACCTTTCAATACTAGTTAATGCCTATGATAAAATGTATCATAATTATAATGACGACGGTGTCATTTACAGCATCATTATTTTACTTACCACCTACCGAGTAACAAAAAAGCCGGAAAAGTGCGAGTCGGACTAGCGCACGAAGGGTTCCGTACCATTATCAATACAAACAGTAAAAAAATTATGTCTGTTTATTGTTTTTTTGTCCCCTTGGCAACGACTTAAAACGATTCACTATAATATTCTGTATTGAAATTTATAGAACGAACCATTTTATACGACGTCACTCATGGCCACCATTTATAAACAAAAATTTCGATCTGAAATCTCAAAATTCCCGTTTTAGCACCCCCCGGGGTTGCTCCTATCCCTTTTTTAGTATTTGTTGTTATAGCATCCACGGAAATACATAATCTGTGAAAATTTCAACTTTCTAACTTTCATGGTCCATGAGATACAGCCTTGCGACAGACGGACGGACGGACAAGGACATACAGCCGAGCGAAAGTAATAGGCTTCCGTAGGGAAACGTACGGAACCCTAAAAACTGACATAAACTTACAACTAATATAATATTATACTGTTAATTTTAAAACAATTATATTTTGTTTTCTTGAGAAATAGGCTTTTTCAATAACGATTTATTATATTATAATTTGTCAGTATAAATAATATTGTTTTACCTACTGGCTGATAGTTAAACGATTGTTACTGTAGTATGAGAAACGATGATTAACAAACATACAACATTATATATTTGTCGGCATAGATAACTATGTAATTAATTATTATGTTTATGAATTCAAGTTGATTATTACTTGTATAATTACGCGTATCTTTGTCAGTTATCGTCACGACTATTTTTTTTTTTTTTAAATGGATAATCAACATTTTTTTAACTTAATGAGAACGCTCGACGACCCCTCTGGCAAAGTGCCGAGTTTGGACAGATTGTGGACATTCAATAGTGATAGGGACACATCGCTTCCGACAAGCCGAGCAGTGGACGTTGCGGAAATATGCCCTTCGGTGGCGGTGAAAATCTGTCCAGCTGCGAAGACAACCGACACGATCACGAAGGTTGGAAGTCCTCAACCGGACCTCAAACCTATCGATGCCCACAAAATTTCACTGACGATCACCAACGAACAGGCCCCTACCGTAGAGGTATGTCCGACTTGTGACCATCAACAGGTTCGTTCGTCGCGGACGTTACTATCCTTCGACGATTTTTATGGCATAGACGGCAAAGACGTCTGGGCTAAACCGTATTCGTCAGGATAGTAGTGGCATACATGCGGCACGTGGCCGGTAGGGTGGACGTGGCCGTTCAAGTGGATGCGGTGAATCTGCAATAAGTACTCATAGGTAGAGACGTGAAGGCGGTAAATTGTACGAGTAAAGATGTATGTCCCTATATTTTACAGACGTTTTTAACTGTTGTTAAAATCGAGTGATCGAAGTAGTCACTTTCGTTTTAAATGTTTTTACAAGATTAATTAATAAAATACCTACTAAACAAATGTAGTATTTCGGTAGTTCTTAAGACTATAAATAAAGGCATATCTACCTTATTTTTGTTTAAAACTTTTTTCAAAGTAAACCTCTGCAGTATTAAATACACAACATGATCAATAATATTGTTACCTACTTGAATACACGGTTTGTATTTTAAAGTATATTAAACACTTATGTCGCCTCCTAGTTAGTAAAAGCGCTCAATATTATATCTCGCCGCCGACCGGCACACACACGCACACAACATATTATTTGTTTTCATTTGAACTATAGTATTGTTTTGATTTTCGTTATTATTGTATTTAATTGTGTTTGTGAGCTCTATGCACGAAAAATTATCATGGCCGCCAAAGCCAGCAGTTCGTTGCACGCAGTCAACGCCGATTTTATTATTGTTTTTACGAGCTCAAGGCGCGTAAGCACGTTTTATTAAACGCCGAAAAGGCAATTTTACATAGTATAACAAATATGGTGGTATAAGTACAGTCAGGTAGAATACAATAAATAATTAATTGGATATAGAAATAATTTAAATAAAAGTATAAATAATTCAGAGTATACATGTTATAATATAGATAAATAGTATAATTATAAAGGTAGAAGTATAATTAGTTGCAAAAAGATTATTGATTGTTTGCAGCTCTGAGCATGCGATATAGAGTGTGGTGGACACAACAGTAAGAGGATTATTGGAATGTGTGGTACCTACATTTTACTTAGGATAACTATAGTTACAACAAAATAAGGAAATCACTACATGAGAAATCGAGTGAATACATAATGTTGTAAAAATTTGAATTTCAAACGCTCATAAAAATTTAATTTGTTTTTCTTATAGACATTTTTTTTTTTTTGATAAAGGTATTGTATTTAGATATTACAATGTTACTATGTAACAACTGTCATTTAACTTATGCAACAATTCAATTTATCATTACTTTTATTCTCAACAGATTATGTTGTTAATAATTTCTATAATATTACTATAAAAAAATTGTCTCTGTACATTAATTTATGAATAACAGTGCTTATGAACATCTCTAAATCTTTTAATATTACATTCTTGAATATTCAAGTAGCTAAGTAGTTCATGAGTTACACTGATGTGTGTGTTTGTTTTTAGATAGTCCAAGACCTACGTAAAATAATTAAGTTTTTGAACACTTTAAAACTGTTTAATACAAAAATTGTTACTATTTAAAATCAAAACATATTTATTATTAAGTTGAATATCAAAATATTTTATTTTATTTAATTTGTGATGATAATCCCTGTGAAATGATTCATTTACTGTCTAAATACTTTATTAATACTGCTATAATATTGTGAATTTTCTATTTCATTGTTAAACATGAAGAATCTATAGTTTTGACATAAATTCCAACTAATGTACATCTACCCATAAGGCCATAAATATTTTAAAATCGTATTTATGAGTTATGACCAACTTATATATTCCTGTTTTAGACGCTTTCTGTTTTGTTTTATTTTTAAATACGATTCTGTATAATATTTGAATTTGAACTAGTGCCGTTTTAAATTCAGGTTTCTCATCACTAGTATTGTTTATTTTATTTTTACATACTTGTTAATATAATATATTATGAAATAATTTTAATAATTTTCTTCAAGCAAAAAAATATTTATCATAAATCTAAAGGAATTATGATGTTTATTTAATTGATATAATGTCTGCAAAATGTTGTTTCCATGTATCAAAAGCACATCTAAATAAAGGTTTTAACTTATACAAAGTGAGTAATTAAAATGAAATACGGAATATCAATTGGTGAATTATTATTTATTAATATTTTTGCATGCAATAATAGTACTGTAAAGAGATGTTCAAGTTCACAAACAATTTTGAAAAGATTCTCAAAGACAAGTAAAGTGTCAGGCTCTAAACCTTAAAATAAAATGTAAAAATGTAATTTTTCAAAAACGAACATTACAATATTGAACATTCTATTATCTGGTTAAATGTTAATTGTATTGTAATAGGAACAGAATCAAGATAATTAAAATTTTTTTTTAAATTCATGCACATTCATTAATTAGCATCAAACAGTTTGTTAATTTACTATTATTTCTATTTTTATCGCAGGTAATGTTTTATTCGTATAGGTTATAGATGTGGGTCAAAACTGTTAAGGTGAACTATAATACGATTCTGTAAAATATTTTAACCAGTGCCGTTTTAAATTCAGGTTTCTTATCAGTAGTATTGTTTTTTTTCATTTTACACACTTGTTAATATTTTTTATTTTCTTATTGAGCTTGAGCCCGGTAACTTAAGCCCTGGGCTGTTCCGAAGAGGGGGTTCTAGGGGGTGTCCCATCTCAATAAGCGTACAATATGTTTATGTCAGTTGGCACATTGATACATTAAATATTTGAGTTTCGCAGTTGGCATTCGGCCAACTATAATTTTTTTTTTCTACTATAATTTTGTATATACTACTAACCCCAAATATATTATAATAATATATTGTAATTTATAATAATATGAAGGTATTATAAGTTAATTGTCCGATTGAAAACTGTCCAACACAAATACTATTATAATATTTTAGATTTTAGTACCTATCAATGTATTATATATAATTATAATAGTATACAAATTTGCCTATACATGTATTTCTTCTATTCCCCCCATGGTTTGTCTTTTGGGACGACCCTGCTTAAGCCATTAGCTAAACTTGTTAATATATATTATGCAATAATTTTAACCATTTAAATTTGTATTTGTAATTGCATAAACATAATAATTATGTTTTGATGTCCAATCACATTTATATCTAAATATGTCATATTTATTTTATATTTATATTATATTTAGTAGTTATTAATTATTATATTATTAAATTAAATAATGTATATATTTTTATTTTACACTTTTTAATAAATACCTTCATTTGATGTTAAAATATATTTATTTCAATGCTAATTATATAAATTATGGATGAATAATGTATTGAGATGAGGAACGTTGTGAGCTTTTTGTTTTAAAAATAGATACTAATAAGATATTTTAAAAGAAAATTTGAAAACTAATATATTGTGTACCAATTTTCGTTTTTTATAAAACGATATTAATTACATATCAACACAATTGACAATACATGGATTCAAATTAAAAAAGTGGGTCACTTCATTGGATCGTGTTAAATTTGAATCCAATGATAGGTATAATACCATTGTATAAAAAATACGATTCTGAGGGTAGAAGGTCAGTCAGCCTATGATATAAGGTACTCAATATATTTTATGATATTATTGTAAATAAAGTAGTTTATCCATAACATATTTACATGGAACCTTGTTTTAAATTTTCAATTCTTAGATGTAAAACATTTTATAAAAGGCAGAATTTGGCAGTTGGACTTAGTTTTGAAGTCCGAGACCCTTCCAAGGTGGTTTTACATAGCAAGTCGAGGGATGTTTCCGATTTTAATTGTCGTATTTAATTTTCTATTTTTGACTTCTTTGAAGTACTTAAATATTTTTCAACTTCATTTGTGACAATATATTAGAATCTTTGTTATGAATTTTTGAGCTTTTTGACTTAACTAATAAAATTTTAAAGACCTCTATGGGGAAAAAAAAATAATATACTGAAAATGTCCATAAGCAGCTCGAGACAAGTCAAAATATTTTGAAAATTTTATTTTGTATATACAATGCTATGATGAACATTCAGTGAAAATGTAATGACGTATCTACAGTCATTTGTTTAATAAGAGTTACACCTAAAACCAAGATCGATTTTTTCGAAAACCTATTTGAGTAAAAATACCCGTTTTTCCTTGATTTTTTTTTATTTTCCTGGTGAAAACTACTGGGAGTTTTAATAATAATATATACCTAATATTGTGACAAAATTCAATAGGAACACTATAAATCAAACTTTAATAAAATATACTAATTATTATACCTTTAATTATTTAAGGGGCAGTTTCTATTCTCGTCAAAGTCACCTGGGATCCATGTGTTAGTCGTAAATGATAATCAGAGTGAGGGGGTTCAATAAATGACTATCTTATACATACATGATACATGCACAAGTCAACAACTCTTTTGTAATATAAAATTCACTTTACGAAAATTACAGCAACTTACTTATTGTTTTAACGAAATTAAAGTTATTGAAGTCGTCTAATTTTAATTTTTTAAAAAAAATATAGTTATGGCTCACAAATTTTAAGTAGTAACAATATTGTAGCGAGCTGTGACGATCCTACTAAATGACTTGTCTAAATCACATTATAATATTATGTACGTAATCATATAATATACGCGCCGCGTAAATATAAAATATAATACGCGAGCAGTTGCTCGCGTAAACATTAATAATAATAATATCGATGGTACCGCGTATACAATACGTGTGTAGTAATATCTAGCGCGTGACCATATGCGGAGTGCGGCAATAGATATATTATAATAATTCTGAAAATACTATAAATTAGATTTGTGCTGTTATATTAAATAACACCACAAATACCACAAATTTACAATACAGATATATACAGACATCCAGACACCATTTAATTAAAGGCCGAGAAGTAAGTCCTTATGTTTTTATGAATTATTGCGACAATTGAAGTAGAGTTTTATTTAATTTTGAATTATTACATCAATTGAAGTTATTGAATTTTGTAGGCCAAGTAGTAAGTCCTGATATTTTGTGTATTTATTTGAATTTATTTGAATTTATTTGAGTTTTATTTTGAAGGCCGACAATAAGTCTTTGTTATGTTATTGAGA